CGTGGGCAGGGCGGAGGGGAGGCGCTCTGCACGTTCTCAGGGGCTTTGCAGGCGGCAAGAAGTTTGGGGGGGGTGTTACTCAGGGGCTTGGTTCCCTTCGGAGGAGCCCCATCTGGTTTTCCCGACCTTCCTTTAAAATACATGTATACATTTGAAAGGGGCTTGGAAATGTTTCCAACCGATGTTACCAAAACAGACCCTTCGCAGGAAAAGGGAGACCCAAACAGCCCGGCTGGGCTTCCGTCAAATGCATCTCGGAGAGATTCTCCCAAGAGTTGTTTTGAAGCAGGCCTTGCGTTTTGGACTACAACGCCCAGAATCCCCCTCCCCACGCGGGCCCTGGGGTTTGGGGAGGGAACCTCCAAAATGTCCCTTTTGCACCTTCCTATCATCCTAAGGATTGAGCTCGGAAACCTTGGAAGCCCCAAGAGGATATACATACGGTATATTTAAAACCAAGAAAGGAAGAAGGAACACCCTTCTGGGCCAAGTTAAAAACTCCTGGCCTCTTGGCAGCTTGTCAGGAGTCCTGAAGCGCCCAGAGTTTGGGGGAAGAAGGAAGCAGGCGGGAGGGGAGGAAATCTTGGGCATCGTGGCACCAATTTTTTTCCAACCTTTCCCACCTTCCAGAAGAGAGAGGTCAAGGGGCAGCGAGACGCACAGGGAATGGGTAGGGCTGGCGACCGCCACCCAGCGCGTTCCTCCCCTTTCCGTCTTTGCCCCCCCCCGGGTTTTGGAAAAGGAGCTCTCTGCTTCTCCTTCTGTCTTTGTGTTCTGGCCTGGCCGTGATCCAACCTTCTGCGCTCCTCCCACCGAGCCTCGGGAAAGGATCGGGGCCTTCTTTGCCTCCTGAACCGCCCCAGCCCTACCGAGGTTCCAGCGCCGTACGTTTTTACCATTTGCGCTGGGAAGGGAAAGCTAAGGAAAGCTAGCCTGCCTTTTGCCTCCCTTGGTCAAATTTATTAATTTGTTTGTTTACATTATTTTTCCCCTGCCTTTGCCGGGTAGGTGGGGCTCATGAGCCATGGAAGGCAGCCCATCTAGGAGAAGGAAAACTCCAATTTCAAACCTCCACTGCCTTGTGGCTATATCCACTCATGGAAAAGGCTTCAGGAGTTAACCTCGAGGCAAAATCTGGAGCTGGAGTCCCGAAGGCAGCATGTGTCGTTCTGCCAACTCCTGCAACATTGCTGGAACCAGTTGTATTGGCTCTTGCCTTTCCATTGGACCATTTCAGCAATGTGGAGAGGGGGGATCTGCTGCTTGGTAGTTTACATAATGAAAAGGAACATTTAAAACTGAAAACAATGAGTATACAAAGGTGACTTACATCAAATTGAACTTGTTAGCTGGTTGGGGCAGACCACCTTTATATTTTGCTATAAACTACAGTGCAAGATCACGAGTCTGGTGTGAGTGTGTATACACACGCCAATCCACGTAAGTTTCTTTAAAAGATGGTTTTAATGGCAATGCCTTCTCTGCATTGATGTTTTAAAAATATAGTATCAAATCAAGGGGCTTAGCTTTCCAGACTTCGATCGTCTTTGATCGTCTTGATCCTCCTCTCCAAAGGGGGAAATGTTTTAAAGATCACTCCCCACCCCAAAAAATGAGATTTAACCAAAAACCCATTTTATGACCTGGGAAAACTGAGGCACCATTTTACCCCCTCCCAGAACAATTTGGTTGAATTGATGGTTTAGAAAGACCAGTTTCACAAGAGCTCCGTGGTTGAGGTCTCTGAGCTGCAGAGTCAGACGTTGGGAGTTTGATTTCCCCACTGGGCCTCCTTGTGAGTAGAGCCCGCTTGGGCGACCCTGGGCAAACTGCACGGTAGTCCCAGGGCAACCCCTTCTGAATATTCTCTACTTTAAAAAACCCCTGAAAAGGGTCGTCGTAAGTCAGAACTGACTTGGTGGCACACTGTTGTTGTTGTTGTTGTTGTTGTTGTTGTTGTTGTTGTTGTTGTTGACACTCATGGGTCTTGTCTTGTTCTCCTTGTGGGATTCTTCTGGAATTTGTAAAGTGGGAACATCATGGACTGTAGGCAGGAAAGCACGTTCTGGGAAGATGAGTGACCAGCTGGTCCTTTTGCTTTCTTTCGGCCAGATCTATTTCCAGCAAGATCTTCCGCCCGGAGAGCGTCCGTGTTGCCCTGGAGGATTCGGGCCGACTCCATGGGTCTTGTCTTGTTCTCCTTGTGGGATTCTTCTGGAATTTGTAAAGTGGGAACATCATGGACTGTAGGCAGGAAAGCACGTTCTGGGAAGATGAGTGACCAGCTGGTCCTTTTGCTTTCTTTCGGCCAGATCTATTTCCAGCAAGATCTTCCGCCCGGAGAGCGTCCGTGTTGCCCTGGAGGATTCGGGCCGACTCCCCTCCAGGTAGGAGGCTGGCCCTTCAGCCCTCCCGGCTGGCTCTCATCTGGTACATTCAAGCGTTGTTGTTGTTTTTTTAAGTTGCATCCAGAGCAGTTCAGATGCTTACACTACCAGCAGCTAAATGGGGATTCTGGGAGTTGTAGTTGAAAAGAATCAGATTCTCAAGAGACAGAAATCCTCTTGTGGCTTCTGACCTCTTTCAGAAATACATTCCAAAACTGTGTGCATGTTTCAAAAACCCAGCTTGTCAGATCAGTCTTGTATTTTTTTTTTAACCTTCCCTTTTGTCTTTATCGATGGAAACCAACGCAGGCAAGATTCTGTTTGTAACTTGGGCATTTTTATTTTTGGACACCTGCCTGGGAGAGAAGGGTCACACGCGCATGCGTGCGCCCCCAACCCCACGTCCCTACCCCCAAATCTGAGCCCCGCCCTGGTTCCTCCCTCCTGTCCTTCTAGGACCTCCCCGAGACAAGATCCCCTCCTCCCTCTTTTTTGATTTCCAAAATAACAGGCGGGAGGGGGAAAGGCAGGGAAAAAAGGACTTCGCTGGGCGGCTCCTGCTCCAACCCGGAGCGCCTCCCTCCGGGCTCTCTCAGCCAATCCGAAACTGCCCAGGTGGCAGTGCGGGGCACTTTGC